GTTGAATAAAACAGCAAAGGCCAGCACGGTGACGGCCCTTTTTCTGAGATTTGAAAGCAGGAACATAAAATGAGGTGAGACAGGAGGTATATGGGGCATTCGGGACCCAGGTTTCTTGCAAACAAATAATATCATATTGTGTCAGAAAGTTGACAAAATCTGGGTCCGACGACTTGCTCTCCCAACCAGCTATGTTCCATGACAAGAGTCTCACATTAAACGAAGAGGTTGAGGGAGAGGAGGAAGCTGTCAGTCATTCAGGGTAATCAATAGGGTCCAAATCCTCTGCAGAGCATTGGAGGATGCATCCATTAGTTGGCCTAGGTTGAGCTGGAGGCATCGATTCTGAATTGATATTAGGTGGGTCGTACGGGCAGGCCTGACTGTTACTAATAGGCACTGTCTGGGTAGATGGAAGAGATGAAGAAGAGTTTTGTTTTGGAACAGTACAGTCATAGAACAGCGGAGGCACTATTTGGGCCTGGGAATCTACAAGGGTAAATGCTCTTCCCCGCGAGCCTTTGTCAATGATATAGGAGAAAGCACTGGTTGATGAGTCCTGGCTGTTATAGAATTAGCAGGGGAGCATTCCATCCCTAAGCAGTTCAATTCCCTAGTGTCCTGGTTGTTTGACTCAGTAACGGCAAGATCATTGAAAGTAATAAGGTCCTTACATAGTACTGGAGAAAGAGGTGGATCTGTTGGGAGCTGATGTGTAGCTGCTGTTACATCTGCAGTGTTGAGAGATTTCTTAATTATAGGATCAACAGATTGAGTGCTGATGATAAAATCACTCTTTAAGGAGAGGTCAGGGTCTAGAATATCCTCGGAGGTACTTGAAACTGGACCGTGGGGGGTAAATATGTTAGAGATCATAAGCTCTTTCATTTGATTCCTTAAGTCCAAAAGTCGTCTCTGAAGGCAAAGTTGGCTGCTGTTCAGGTCATTAGGATGCAATTTGCTGCTTGCAGCCTTTCCCCGATCATCTGAATGGGAGAGGCCCACATTCTCCTTGGGTTTAGTAGTAGTAGTAGGTCTCATAGTCCTAAACAAAGGTTTTGGGTCTGCATCTTTAAAGACCCTGGAGGGGTACACACAATAATTCTTTAAGTGTGGTGCCAGTTGAAATATCCTTCGCGGTATATCCCTAGAGCCGAAGGTAAGAAAAATTCTGCTGAATCCCTTAGTAGGAGGTAGAAAGTGAAACTGCTTCAGCTTCTTGGCTGCAATGGTTAGGTTCAGTAGCTTTGAGAGTGATGCAAGGATCTTTGTCTTGGTGTTCCAGAGATGGAAATCAGGTGCAGAGATCCACAAGGACACCTGGTGGGTTTGATAAATTCTGGTGACTTTCTCATCACAGATTAAAGAATCTTTACTCCCCACTTTAGAAGGTAAGTAATTGGAGGGGAGATAGGGGTCTCTTTCTTTGGGGTTC